TAATCATTTGGAAGATTGGCCATTAAAAAAAAGGGGGTGCGAGGACCCGTTCATCCCTGCTTGCAGCTTTAATTTGTCTTAACTCGTCTTTGTACAGGGCATTCCTGGTCCTGGCCACTATGACATCACAGGACAGTTTGAGAGGCTCTGTGACAAAAAGCAGCAGGTCACCGCTGCCTTTCTTTCTCAGACTGAGGTACAATGCAAACACCACTCACCCGCCACTTTGCCAGTTTTACAATACAATATTGACTAGCAGAGGCAGCAATGTTGAATCGACATAATTGCTCGTATTCTTGTCATATCACATGTTTGCCTGGCTACTCATTGAGCTCAATCGTAACTGTCCCATAGGTCACTGTGATAGGCCAATATTTTTCGCAGACAGGTTAAAATAACAAACCAGGCTCTGAAGAAGCACAAACAGCAGAACAGAAAGCAGGAGCAGCAAGTCAGGGAATGCCAGAACAAGACTGGAACAATTAACAAATAGTCAAGTAAAGGAAGACATGTCAGAAAGCAGGAAGAGCGATTTAAGAACAGGATAAGAAAATCGGGGAAAGTAAAAACAACACAGAAATGGAGATAGAAAATAAGAACAGGTTAGACACTGGAACATTAAGACATGGAACGGGAATAGCAAATCAGGAACAAGAACAGCAAGCGGATGAGGAACTTTAATCCAAGTGAAGTAGGAAGTAGGAAATTTTATTTAATTTTGCCTTGCTTTGCCACATAGAATGTACAGTATGCACTTGACGGATAATCATAAAGTGTCATACCATGTAGTACAACATGTGCTCTTCATAAACAAAGATAGATTTTGCTGCGATGGCAGCCCACACCGGAGTCGTCCCATTAAGTAGCACAGTGCATTCATTTCACTTTGTCACTTAGTATTTGACTGGTACAATTCCAACAGGATGACACACAATATGGCTTCATTGTGCCCGTAGGATGAAAACAAACTATTGATTCCATTGGCCCAGATAAGCAAATTAGGATCCATTTGGATGCATTTAGGGACATTACTCCGCATAGTGCCAACACTGAAAATATTTCCCGGATATAATCTGGGAGATAAATGCAGTCAATTAGCGACTTCTCATAGGAGAACGCTGTTCCGTACGTGTCCCAGATCCTGACGCTGAGCTCCTTTTTTCAGTGCGATTCTCAGAGATGAGGTGAACATGAGTTTATTAGCACGTTCAAAAGCAGGCGGGTTTTGAAACGCACATTCAAGTGCTTATTTGAATGACTGCCAAACAAAAATTCATTGCTCTAAAATCCTGTATTTAGAGATTTTATGTAAGAGAAGATGAAGGGATGCCGCAGCAAAGTGGAGACTGTGGAGTCTAATAATACTACAGCGCCCACATGTCAAGAACAGGAACAGCAAGTCAGGGCAAAGAACAACATTTCCATTGACAAGGAGACACTGGGTCTGTATAAATTCCAATGTTGGTGACGAGTAGATGCCATACAGTGGAAAAGGAGAATAAGGTCAATTTCTGCTGATTGGGTTGTCATCAAATTTTCACCGTTTGCCATCACTGGCACAAAAGCGCAATTGTGCATCTATGGAAGGCAGAGTTTCCGACCTAATTTCCCTGACCACATGCTGTGCGCAAGTGTGTGTGTGTGTGTGTGTGTGTGTGTGTGTGTGTGTGTGTGTGTGTGTGTGTGTGTGTGTGCGTGTGTGGCGTTAGAACCTCGGGCAACAGTTTTCTTAGATGTTCATCTCGGTGTGACTCTGCGTGTTCTCCTGCGGAGGGATAGAGAGGAAATGAGATAAGGATGCACTGAGGGAGGGCTGAGAGGATAAGAGGAACAGTGGGAATCCGCCCAGTTGTCGCCTCAACTATAGGCTCTTCACAATTTTGCCGCAATATCATTTAGACAATAACCACATGTGGGATTTTTCTCGAACTTGGTGTGTGTGTGTGTGTGTGTGTTTGTGTGTGTGTGTGTGTGTGTGTGTGTGTGTGTGTGTGTGTGTGTGTGTGGTTTGGAAGAAAACAAGCTCGACAACAGAATTCAAATGAGCTTCAGTAAAGTGCTAACCAAGCTCAGTTGGGAGTCTTTTTTGGAGAGGAAAACTTGGAAAAAAGAGCAAAGGCACAGCATGAGCCTGACAGATGGGCCTCCTCGCATGTGTAACATGCGTTGAATGTGGTGGCCTTCAAACAGCGGGTTATGTGACAACACAGTTATTCATGCAACAATTCCTTTCCGGTCTTCGTGAATGTTTGGAAGATGTCAAGTGATAGTTCATCTGTTGCTAACGAAGCACACGTTTTTGGGTTTTTTGGGTGTGAATTTGTTCAGAAATGGCGCCGCTAGAGTATGTCGAAATGTTTAGCATATAGTGCATTCCAGTGATCCTGTCCATTCACAAATTGAAATGAAGATCTTGAAATAGAAGAAAGTAGAAAGAAAAAGAAAGTAAAGGAAAAAAAAAAGTAGAAGAAATTAAGATCTTGGCATGTTGTTTAAGAGCTAACTTTAGCTTGGCTTGTTATTGGAACTTTTGGTGAGTTTTAGCTGTTCTGTAACTTATGTAGCTCCAAGTGGCAGACGTTCAAAAGGGCTCGCTCAAAGAAGCATTTTCACAAATACAGGAGTTGTTTCATTTCACACTTGATGGATGGGCAAGCAGGCCCAACTATTTGTATATAAGACATTAAAAAAGTCCATTTTCAATAATATACCCCCTAAGGAGGTAGAAATGCAGGATTACGCAGCATGAAAATGAATCATGTAAAATCCAGCCGCTTGATTCCAATGCTTTCCAGTGCTTGTGCTGAACCCTGTGGCCTCTGTGTGCTATAAGTGCTGCTGAGGCTGACTTAGCGTCGCGGCGACTGACACGGAGAACCTCTGATGAAAGGTCTATCGAGTCGAGTTTGACAAGCACAACTTGAGCGGTGCTAAAATAGCTTTTGCCTGAGAAAAAAAAAAACAAAAAAACAACCTCCCAAAGAAACCCTCCTCTGGCACCAGAACTGTGCTTATTTTGGGGCCTGCGGGAGTTTAGGTCTTATGTGTTGTGTGTAATAAGAAGTGAGGTCTTGCTTTGTGATTTATTGTCGAAGTGTGTGCCTGGATGAAGCCCATAGCCCATTAGCATCTCAGATGGCCAGGGAGTCATTAGAGAGAGGTTTTAGACTTAAAATGCTTGCCATGAAATGCTAGCGGCGATAAATGAGCATTAATGTGGACCTCGATGAGTACCATTGGGACCTGCCCCTTCTCTGCTTTGTCCTTTAGAGGTTTAAGCCTGCCAAGGAAGAGTCGCCCCCTGTTGGTGCCTATAATGACCCACGGTACGCCATTCAAATGTCTCACGATGCGACGAGGGTGCACAAAAGCCCGTTTGGTGTCACAGCGGAACGTTTCCCGCCGAACCGCAACGGAGGTTGCACACCAGGTTAGTATGTGTGGGTCTTTGTACCTGAAAACTTGTAGTATTTGCTGTTTCATCAGAAGCTAATACTGTGAGTTCAAGCTAATCTTTGCATTGAACATAACTCAGCGCAGCTCTGCTTACCTCTTGACATGATAAGGTTTCTTACAGTGTTGTCCGACGGCCATCTATGACCATTGCTTTGTAAATTCAGAAGGGCTTGCTCACAGACGCATGTTGGGACATAGCCGGCGAACAAAATGACGTGTTTAATTGTCAACTTGTGGACAGGCAATTAGAGAGACACAACTGTTTGAATACAATCACTAAAAAGTACATCTTCATAAAGTGTTCCATTTAAAGTCAGACAGAAGCAGTTGGCATAAATGACAAACGAGCTACATAAAGCTCAAATGTGTTGGCTCAGTCTGCATCACATTAGTTTTCTTTTTTTGTGGGGGTGGCGGGGGCAATATTTGCTCATTTGTGTTAATTTGCAATATTGTCTTTGCTGGTTGTATGCAAACACATTAGCGTTGTTTAATTGCGTTCTCTCAACATTTACATAAGTAATCAAACACATTTGGGGGGAAGTTGATAAAGCCACAAAAGTTGTTTGGTAAAGTACGGGTGGAGTGCTATTTGTGAAGCCAACAAAATACAGTACTACAGACCAGTGATTCCCAACTAGGTTAGGAAACACTGCTGTAGACTGTGTGAAAACAACAAAAGTATAAAATGTCGTTATTTCTTGCGGGAGTGCTCTAAAAGTACACGATTGCGAGGGCATCTTTGACTTGAGTGTACAGTAATATTCACTGTGTTGCATGAGTACTGCATTTGTTGGCAAAGTGACATTCTCCAGTGTACTGTGTCCAGGTCCCGGCTCCTACAATGTCCTGGACTTGGGTTTGGCCCAGGAAAGTTTGAAAAGGGCATATTCAGAGCGAGCCAGGAAAGGGGGCTTTGGCTCCACCACTAAACGCAGCAGCATTTTCCTCAACAAGGAGTCCATACAAGGACCCAGCCCAGGAGATTACCAGGTACAGTGGTACCTTAATTTACAAGTTAGATTAGATAACTGATACTCCCAGTTGAAGTTTACTGTCAAGCTAAACATAAAGCAAAGGGAATTATACATTATGTATTTTCAACAGACACTGATGAGGATAAGCAGTTCAGAAGATTGATGGGATGTACAAAGCTTTGCCACTAGCTTAATGCTAACACATAATGGAGAAGCGAGTAGCATTGGTGTGGTGGCCTTTTAAGCAACTGATACTGTATTTGAACACAATTTTTTTAACCTCTGCGAAGAAAGAATGTTACAGGTGTGGTCATGGAACAAATTAAACTCTTATTTCAAGGCACAATACAATAACAAAATCCCTACTAAACAATAAAGTAGAATATAAAGAAATTCACTGTGATGACTGTTTGATATGACAAGCTGAGTCACAACAATTATAATATTATATGTGCCTTTTAGGGGCGTTACCGATAGTGGGCGACATCAGGAACGTGGCCAGTTAGCTTTCATGTGTGCTTCTGCATGTGAGTTTTGGCTTGCCTTGGCTCTTTGTTGATGTTCTCATTTTGTAATTTCGGGTTTGTGTGTTTGACTGTTTGTACTGTTGAAGAAACTGCTAAAAATGCAACGGCGACTGTTGCTCTCCTTTTCACACGTGCGACGGCATAACTGAAACTCTCCTTTAGTGAAATCACCCTCCACGTTATTTCGACTAAATACTGTTTATGTTGTGTCAGGTGGAAACGCGTCCAGAGGAGCTTTACAAAAAGCAGCACACAGCCGCATTCAGATCAGCCACGCAGCGCCTGGCATCCTCAACTGTGGCCAAAGTAAGTCTCTCTCTGTTTTGTCACTCGAGATTTAAACCTCCCTACTTAACAGAAAGTCCTTAAAAGAAAGAAGCGCCAATTTTCAGACTTTAATAAGTGGGGCATTGCAGCAATAGCATCTGACCCTTTACTACAATGATGCCAGCGATCCTATTTTTCCACTACTTTTATCTTTGACTGTTTCCTGACTTTTACTTACGGTAATGAGGTTTTTTTTTTTTTTTCTTTTTTTGCGACTTTTCCTACACCCTTATTAGTCTCCTTCCAAGAACGTTCTGCCTTTGTTCTCTCACAAATACATTTGAACTTCACTCGTTAATCCATCATGTGTATATATATATATATATATAATTTTTTTTTTTAGATCGATTAGAAATGCTAGGTTGGTAAGTCACCACAATGCATCCCATCCTTCCACAATTTTCTAATGTATTCCAGTATACAAATGGATGAAAGCACAAATAGAGCCAGGAATACGGAAGGGATTGTTTTATTGTATGAAGGCAGTTTGGTTCGTCTGAAAATGGGGAAATTGATAGGTGAGCTCAGCCATGACGTTGACGTGTTAAATTGAATCCCCAAACGGTTGCTGTTTTTGGCCAGTAACACGCTTTGTTCATAATTTTTTTTGGGAGGGTTTGGCTTGCTTAAAACATTTTAAAAAGTCTGAATTCTGATATAGTTGCCCTTTCAACAGGGGAAGTTGGTGAATAACCTTTGATGACAAAAAAAAAAAAAACAAAAAAAAAAACTGGCCTATGGTGCATTCTCAGTAAATTTGACCTATTCAGTTTTGCAGCATTAATAATGGATTAAAGGCAAATCACAAGTATCGTCTTGCGTTGGCATAGCAAGGGCTGGAGTCACCAACCTTTTTGAAGGCGAGAGCTACTTGCGTATTTGATCAATTCAAACGGTTAACGGTTTGATACACACTGCTGAAATTTTGACCAAATCCCTTGAATAATGTTACATTGTGTTATTATTAATCGTGAATGATATTCGCTTGAAGAAGTGACATGTTGATCATTTCCCACAATTGGAAGAAAAAGATACATATCAAGATGCAGCACTTTATTTCGGTAAATCTCTGCTCAATGTTCACATTTTCAAATGATCACTTGTAAAACATTTCGAGGATATCAGTGTCCCGTTGCTGGCGAGATATTTGGAGAAAAGGATCAAAGGCTACTCATGTGGTTCCTTGGGGGCCACCTGGTGCGCGTTGGTGACCCCAGACTTCGGGCCACCGCTTTTTAAAAGAGTCCTTTTCATCATGCTCTTCACATTTTGATAAAATGAGATCACACCTAACGCCTACTTCGCCATTGTGAGTATTAAAGGTCACTGAATGTTCAGATTTAAGTTAGGCTGTAGGAAAGACACTTCCTTTTAGTGCTTATTCTTCATTTTAAGAAAAATGTTTGGACCAGTTTTTGGCAACATTTTTGTGCATCTCTTCCCAATGCACAAAGCAAGGGTCCACAAAGGCATATGTGGAACAACAAGCACATAAAAACCTTTTGGAAAAAAAAATGTTGAAAGACTCACTCCAATATCGTGTAAAAAGTCATCCTGTATGGCCACAGGTCCAAATATGTCTGTATATATATATTTGTCTATATGACTAAATGTGTAAAAGTGGCTTGCTTTTGGTTTGACTCACTAACAGCAACTCCCTCTTGTTTGTGTTTTGCGAGCCTAATTCGCAGCGTTTGTAGGCGGAGGAGCATCTAGGTTTGATGTGGGCGAACGCGCTAAAGCCCTTCTGCGGCACATAACAAGTTAAAGAAAAGTCAGAAAAATCATGTAAAATACACGAAAATGCTTGCTTGATTTTACATAAATGTCTATGCTCGGGCCCGTGTACCTGAGTGGCCACGTGACCCAGGCTTTCACGCTGAGCCTCGCTGATGAGCACTTAATGAAAACGGGCCTGGGGACACGGTAGCTGTAGTCGTTAGCCACATGCCGCGCCACAGCTGAGGTCGTCGACGCGGCGACGCCTCCACCATCCCCGTAGGGGCCGATAGTAAAAAAAAAAAAGCAACTGATATTCCGGAAGCGGCGGTGTGGACATGCATAAGACGTATGAAAGGGATACAAGGAAGGATGAAGGCACTGCCACACCGTCTCGTCATCTGTTTCATTCATGTGCAGCGAGACGTTTCATGTTGCAAGTGATGGCAATGGCAAATATGAAAGATGTACTCTGTCACGTTGAATGTCTGCACGTGGCCATGGAACACACCACGAGCACCTGTTATCTGACTCACTTTAATATTTCGTCTTTGATAGCTGCTCTTTCTTTTCTTTGCAACATCTTTTGTTTGCTTTATTCCAGCAGTCTTAGTCATTTGCATAATGTCTTATCTTCCAAGTCCGCTCCTTAAAGAGTACACGTTTTAATCCACAGCCATTGCCAGATTTATTTGAAGAATAAAAGACACAAGCATAACGGGTTACGGAAGTCTAACTTCCAAAGTTTTGCGTGTACATTAGGACTGCGGCTATCCGATACTTAAGTATTTGGATATCCTTTTGAAAATGTTATTGAATGATCGGGTATTCAGATTAAAATTAAAAAGATATATTCCCACCAAAATAGATTTTGGAAAAATCTCAACCACATATTTTTGTCTGAGTCGAAGTGACATCACAACCAAACGAGCAATTTCCCCTGGCTTAAACTGCACATTTGAGTTAGCCTGGTTTGCTATAAAGCGATCACTGAGGAAGGGCAACGATCTCAGGCTGTTCGCATCAACGTGGGCAGAGTCATTTTCGCCTATTTTCACTGGCTTTGAAAAGCAATCCAACAATTCTCGCCAGCCTATAGAGGGCCCCGTCCTTTTAGCAATTACCCACAATGCATGCCATACGTATGGCTTGTTGATAACAGCCCTCCAATATGGCCGCCGGTAGTGCATTGTGGGTAATTGCTAAAAGGACGTAGCCTTCTATAGGAGGCACTTGCTTAGCGGCTATCTGGAGCCTCTGTTAAGCGCTGCCAACAGGCGACGTGTAATACAATATCAGCATAATAAGAGATCTTTTTGACACCCTTAAGTAGCGATTGAACTTGATTTAAGGACGACGTTGTGTTATTGATGTCGGTGGCAACAGCTTGTGACGGCAATGCAAAGTGGCCCCAATTACCGTCGGGAATACGAGTCAAGAAAGCGTCATGTCGCGACGCGCTGCCAGGAACAACTTCAAAGTAAAAGCGTCCCTCGGCATTGATGTTCAGATGTCGAATAAGTAAGGTAAGGTTTATTTTGAAGTTTGCCTTCTAATCGCGTTGACGACGTGTTCCTGTCATGTATAGCATGAACACCTGTTGCTGTAGTGGGCTTGACTTTTTCTTGACGGTGTACACGAAATAAATATTTAAATATATAAATGGGTACCCGAGGCTGAAAAAAAGCACCAAGTATTTTTTTTTGAAACGAAGTACTCCAAATATTTGAGTACCCATTTTAGCCCTCTTTTACAAACTGCTTTTAAAAGACGAGCCAGGTCTGGCAGAGTGTGACAAGCAAGGGCGGCTCCAGGATTTTTTCTCTCGCTAAAGAGGGGCCTGACCGAAACACAGGGGGGCTGAGACAGTAATTCATAACAATATTTTAGAAAACCAAATAAACAGCTGGAGGACCTCAACTGCGTCTACACAGATTTCTGACAGGGCCAGAGCCCCCCTGAGACCCAGTGTAGCGCAATCCCTAGTGACAAGAAGTAAACGCAAGTAAACCAGTTCATAAAGGTTTTTTTTTAACTTATTTTCTTCTCAAACAACAGTGTCCTTCCTTCTTTACCTGCCTCCTTCCTCTCCTCTTTCTGTCTCTCCACCTCATAATGGCCTCTTCTCTGCCGAGGTCGTGGGATACACCCGCAGGCAGCGCCCGGAGACAGCGAGTGAAGAATTTAATTTGGACCGATGTTCTCCCCTGAGGCGCTGTGGCATGGGTTCCTGCCTTCTATAGATTAGTTACACATTGCACTGTCCCCCCGAGCGACGGCGCACACAAGCTCTCACTGGCTCTTTTGTCACTTTTTTTTACAGCTCTTGCCTTTCTGCTTCTTCTTCATTGATGTCAATTTCATTCTTCCGCCACTTACGCTGAGATGGATGGAAGTCCGCACGGACTGCCACTGAGAGGCACGACGGCTCACGGCCAAGGACAATAGCCAGACAGCAAAAAAATATTGACATCCAATTTGAACGCAGAGACTGAAATTCAATTGGATGATACGGTAGAGGATGCTGGGCCAACTTTGGTCTGATTTCAAATGCCCCCATAAGGAATAATAGGAGTCGTTAAAGCTTTTATTCACATTTAGTAACTGGACCGGCGACGATTGAAACCACATTTTAACATTGTGAAACCGTTATGTAAGTTTTGAAAATATCTACCTGCTGCGCACTAAAACTAATAGTAAACTTCTTGTTATGGTTGTGTGACAATTCAAAACAGATGTTTGTGGTCAATGAATTTCACATTACACTCATGCAAATGAGCCAGTGCAGGACCAATGCGGTTGACTGCTTTTGTAACCATGGTGATTTGGCGCAGAGTTACTTGTTGAGCCCAGAGTCTAAAAAAGTCAATGCGAACTGTGAGCCCCCATAAAGACAGTAAAAACATTGGTTTTGTTTGGGTTTTAACACTTGGCCGCAGCACTTAATCACCGCTACAGTTGTCGATGAGTGATCTAGTAAGGACGTTTGCCTCAAGTTTGGCCATGAGCGCTGTCCTTTTGTATGGCGTTAGCATGTTCGCCCCATGCTTGCGTGGGTTTTCACGTAGAACATACACTGTATGTAGGGCCACATTTGGAGTCTGTGTGTGTATGTGTGTTTGTGAATCCTTGGCAGTACTCGTGGCGGCATCATTATTTTGACAGCTGACAAAAAAAATCCATAGCGAATCTATAAGTCCATTTGGTCCCTGGTCTGCCATAACTTGAGGCCGCAGTTGCGCTGCGTGTCATAAAAATGC